TATTAGTTTAATAACAATTGTGTAAAAAAAAAACCTAGCTCTAATAAGCATTTAAAAATATTTAATATTTATTAAATCAGGTGAATCAGGATCCAAGAACTGAGAGTGGGCACCCTAGCCTACCTCACAAGGTTGTTGTGCGGAGAACGGGAACTCATTTGCAGTCCAAATCTGAACCAATGACATTAGAATTTGAAACAACATGCATAATATATAATAATAGTATTTAGTATTAATATTAATTATTAATTAATTAATTAATAATATAATAATTATAATAATGTATGATTATTGAAGTACAGATTAGAAGTTAATTAGAGATTAAATATAGATTAAATACAGTAATATAATGATTCATTATTGTTATTAATAATATTAATTAGAGATTAATTAAGTATAGATTAAATACAACGATATAATGATTCATTATTGTTATTAATAATAATAATAATCGCATGGGGAGTTTATGTGATGTTGCAGAGCTGGGCCTGGGATCCACGGGGTTGGTTGACTGTATTTATTCTGTTTTTATTTCATATTACGGTGAGCCACCTAGGATGATCTTGTATAGAAACTGACAGGTGGCCAAGTCAGTTTCCAAATAAGCGAATAAAAGAGAGAAGGGAGAGGACAAACATTCAACTCACCCGTGTTGGGATCACAGCTGCCGTGCTGGTTGCAGGTACAAGGCACGCAGCCTGCAAACGGTCCCCCCCCAGTGATCTCCCGTTTGTAACCCGGTGTGCAAAATTCACAAAATTGGCCTTGGTATCCTTGGGGGCAGGTGCATTCTTCAACCCCCGAAGCCCGTGGGGAGACCCCCGGACGCGCAGAGGCGAGGCGAACTTCCTTCAGAGCAATTCTGCCTGTAGAAAGAAGAGACACAGCTCTTGCCGGGAGAATAAAAATTCAGCGTTCTTCAATCCAACGACAGGCAAGGAATGAAAGGGGACAATAAGGAAGGCCCTTCCGACCTACCTCACAGGGTCGTTTTGGGGGGTGACATGAGAGGGGAGGCTCCCTCCTACATAAGGTGTCGTAAAAAAAGGTTAAAAAGTTTTAAAAAGTTTAAAAAGTAAACAAAAGGAAAATAGGAAAAAAAACAAAGCCAAAAAAAGGTTAAAAAGTTTTTTTTAAAAAAAAGTGTCGTAAAAAAAAGTTTAAAAAGTTAAAAAAAAAGTTTTAAAAAGTTAAAAAAATTTTTTTAAAAAGTTAAAAAAAAGTTTTAAAAAGTTAAAAAAAAGTTTTAAAAAGTTAAAAAAAAGTTTTAAAAAGTTAAAAAAGTTTAAAACAATAAAAAATTACAGGGAACACTAGAGAGACGAATGCTAAACAAACACATTTCAATACTGACTTTTTTCAATGCTGGTACTGATTCTATGTATCTGATTCTGATTCAGTCTTCCCCTAAATAACGTACCTCAAAACATCGAATTAGATTTTTTTTGTTTTTAAAAAAAAAAGGAGTTGAGATTTGGCCCCTGCTCCAAGGATCGGGGATTTTAAAATGGGGAAGGGTCTCTGAAGGTCATCTAGTCCAACCCTTGGCTCAGCGTAGGAAGACTGAACTGCTAGATCCTGCTTTGGTTTTTATCTACATCCAGTGGGATTTTCCTCTCCATCAACAGCTCTAACCATCTAAAAGTTTCTCCAACGATTTGGCCGAACTCTGCAATCGTTTGTCCTTCTGTTTCGACCTAGCATGACCAAGTTCCGCTTTCCCCCTGGACCTATCCAGGACCGTCTTTCTTCTGGTCTTCAGCTTACCCGATCTGGGTTTACTTCTGACTTGGATCTGGAGCTTCGTCAGGTTGGAAAGCATCCGCTGGAACTGGAACGCCGACAAAGCCGAACTCATCGCGTCTTCCGCCTCGTGCAACCTATGACAAACCAGCCCGGTGCCGGAATCAGACATGACCATTTGCAGAAAAGCAAGCTGAAGGATTAACCAGTCTTTGCTCAATCTACTTTGAAAAAAACCCCCAAAACCAAACCTTAATTCCCCTGTACGTCTTTTCAGGAACTCAGCCCTTTGCTGTTTTCTGGATATTTATAGCTTTCCCAAAGAAAGGGACGTGCCATCGATCAAACCTTCCTGCTGTTGGCCAGCAGCGGTTAGAGTTAATTGAACAGCATCAAAGGGTATTGCAGAGCTCAGCATGGCGATTGCTTTTCAAAAAAAAAAATCCAACGGGCTGCTTAGATGAAGACACCCCTGCCGTGTATTACACGTTTACAGGTCGGTTAAGTTGAGGACCTTCGCAGTCCAGCATTTTGTGGCTCAGAGGGGGTGATAAGAGCCTTTGGGGTGCTCACAAACAGCAGACAGAGTCCCACCTTTCTCCTCACTGCAAACATGGCCCCAAGGCAACATGGAGCCTTCAAGACTAAGAGCCCTGATAGACCCGTTCCCCAAGCATTTATCCAAGTTATACAATCACCTTCTAAAACTAGGTCATCGGCAATGTTGCACTCCCAGTTTTCTAGGAATTCTTGGGTATATGTTCCCAAGACCCAGTGATTTATGACTTCTCTTGTGACATCATCTAATTATAGCCCTATTTCTACCAGAACCATTCCCATCCTGATAGCCGGGGCTTCAGTGGGTTCTATTTTTTTCCTTTGCCTTCCTCATCTCCCTTTCCTTTGCTGCTGTTTCTTTCCACCGTAACGCTGAACAGAGCGATGGTTTTACAAATCATTTCATCGGCTGCTTTACAGAGGCATTCAGTATACATACATATCTTCCATTTAGGCCTGGCTGACCTCAGCTTTTTTTTTTTTTTTACCAATAATTTTATTTTTTATGATGTACCATTGAGAACACCAAAGGGGAAAAAAAAAAAGGATTAAAAGAGTTCAAGAAAAAACAATAGAAAAAATAATACAAACATATACGAACATTTAATGAAATGACTTCCGACTTCCTTTGCAAAAGGGATCTACAAAAAACTTTTCAAACCCCCGAAAAATGAGCAACATCATTAAATTTGTGCTGATCTAGAATAATTACAATCAGCTATTTATAACTTTAATGGCATTCTTGCATCCTCTTGAATCAAGGGTTGCAAAGGAAAAACGCCGTGATTTATCCTGCGCCCAAGCTGAGGAAAACAGACTGGATACCTGAAGGACGCGATCCGTTCTTTACACGGGATTTCGTTCTCCCCAGCTTCCGGGTTCTCGTGTCTTGCTGATAAAAAGATGCCATTCCCTTCCAAAACCAACTGGATGGCAGGAGAAGCAGCGCCCGTCGCGTTGTCCTCGAAGTGAAGAACCATCGAGAGCAGTTGGCCGTAGCTAAAACGCTGATCGCCCAGGAATTTCTCTAAGAAACGGAGATCCGAGCCAAGAACAGGGAGGAAGAAATTAATCCAGCCGCTCGAGGTGGGAGACGCATCTCTCCAAGACGCCGATCTCTTTAAAAAGCACCGGGCAGAGCAATGCTTATTTTGTTTCTGGCCTTCCCATCCTTCGAGTCAATCCCAAGGGGTTGACTCGGCAGGAGGAAATCCCTTTTGTGTGTAGGTGTGTGGCTTTTTCGGTTGTGGTGCTCGTGCTAAGGGGGAGAGGCAAGTCTGGCCCTTACGAAAAACGTCTTGCGCCTCTGGAGAACGCGGCCACCCAATTTCCCTGCCCGGACATTTAGCCAAGAATTTCAAAAAGCTTTCCGTGCCCAGTTTTTTCCCCCCTCGCCTCTATCAATGGATTTTAAAATTCAAGGATGGGCTAGAAAGAGTTTTAGAGGTTAGATTGCTCCAGAAGTTTACTGAGCCTGCTCCTGACTGTTAAGGAGAGGTAGATCTAGACAAACAAACCATGTTTTAATGCAGGAAGCCCCCCCCCCCCCAAATTCATGATCATCATCACAGCTGAGTTGAGTTCAGCTGGTGGGCCCTCCTAAACAAGTCCATGCAGCAACAATCCATCTTTTTCTGGGAGTTTATTTTGAGTTTCCAGGCTAGCAAATGACCCTAAGCTTTCCTGGTGGTGCCCTATCCAAATATTAATCACTTCCAATCATGCCTAGATTAGCAAAGGGCTGCTGTACCTGGTGCCGAAAAGCCAGTCACTTCCTGCTCGTTTTGCTCTACGGTGATGACTTCTCTGTCCCAATGCAGTAAAACCTGTCGCCCATCTGGGTTTTCTGCTCTCCAGCCATCAAACCCTGGATTTAAAAAACGGAAAAACCACAGCAGAAACAACAACGTTCACCCGGCCTAAACCAATCTCTAGCATTCTTATTCATGGAGAGGAGAATCGACTGCATCTTTAATTACATGTCACTGAAGGACTGGAGCTGTTTTATTTTAAAAAATACAATTATCCCGGCGCTCTAAAAATTTTGCCCTTAAGTGGCCAAGCAGAAATAGGTTGAATTTCCCATGCTAAGCAGAGACAAAGGTTAATTCTCCTACAAACCCGAGAATGCATTAAAATTAATGTGGCAATTCACATTCCATTTTAAATACAATCAGGATAGACTTTAATAGGATGGTGTTTCAAGCACCATCCAGAAACACACACACACACACACACACACACACACACGCAGGGTTTGCATGTTTGTTTTTAAAGGCAAAACTACATGGCCTCACTTACTCTAAGCTCATTTTTTTTACACGAGCGATCCAGACATTCTACGGATTCTGCAAAGAGGAATTCGCCCAAATGTTTTCTGCAGCAGTGCACAGATTTAATAGTTCAGATAATGGATCTTTCTTGGATCGTGGAAACGTGTCCCAACCCAGAGGCAGCAATTCCTTGCAAAATACTTCATGGGGAATACACCCTGTCCGGCTGTCAGTCCTTCAAGGTAGACCAGACTAGGACACTAGAGTTATGAATGCTAATACTGTATATATCAAGTTACAGGAACAGAATCTTGCAAGTCTGAATGTGCTTCCCCCTCCCTCCCTTTATCTTCAAGGGAACTAAGGAGGGTCTTGTCTGAGACGCTTCCTCGGATTACAGTTCTGCTCTGGACTCAGATTTCTCTTATCTGACCACTGTCTCGGTTTCAGGTCTTCCTCCTATTCCTCAAGGTTATTCCTTCTTCCCATTACACCAGCAGAGCACAAAGGCTGAAGAAGAATGGGAGGAGGATGTCAGGACTAGAAAAACTTTCTAACCCCCTGTATTTACTTTCCATCCCCGGCTGGATTCATACCGTCACTTTCTGTTAGACAAACAGAGCATTGGATCTTAGCCAGTTGCAAGCTGCTGAGGGCTGAGTAAATTCCACTGGGGTAGATTCAACAGCTCCCATTTCCTTTGCTGTGAGAGATTGCAAGACGCAGAGAAGGGTGGAAGAGGAAACGTTAACAATCTGAAAAGACAAGGTGAGCCTTACAGTATCTCCTAAACAGCAGCTTAGCTCAGATGGGAAGAAGAGTTTCAAGGCATTCAAAAAGACTCAGCCTTCATTAATTTCCTATAAGCAAAACTGGAAAATTCCTATCTGTAAAGGATTGTAGAAGTGACTTTCGGAAAGGTATGAGCGAGCCATTAAGGAGTTTTGCAGAGATGACTTAGTCCTGAGATAGAGGAACGGGTGAGAAAGAAACTCAAAAATCGCTGCCTTGATTTTGTTTGGTATAAGATGGAGTAGAGAAAAACTCTGAAAGACTTTGTAAGATGCAACAGCGAAGAACGTGGACAAGCTTTCAAGATTCTGTTATTCTACCCCATCACGATTAAGAGCATTTCTGGAAGGCTGTTTCTTTACCTGGCCTACCTCGAAGGACTGACACGATCACCCTTGCCAAGATTTGGTTTTCACCCCAGATGAGCATCAGGTATCTCCCTGAAATCTGTGTCTTTCTCTCTTCCTTGGTCTTGCCCAGCTACGTGGCCCCTGACCTTGTCTGGGTTGCCCTGCCAAGAGAACAACCTTGCCTCCATGGGTTGGCGCTCTAACTCCCAGAATCCCCAACCACCTTGGGGAAGGCTGGGATCAAGAATCAAAGCTGGCAAGGAAGCAAAACGTTGGGCAGGAGACAAAGCTCCAGCTAGGAGACACAACCCAAGGGGGTGGCAAAGGAATCTTCAAATCCAATTCTCTCGAGAAATTGGGAAGTTTTTCCCAGCTACCTTGTCTGAAGTCAGAGACGATGTCATAGGCTTCATATCCTGGGGCCGTTGTGCATACAGTGGAATGTCCATAACAGAAACAGCTTGTACATCCCTCTGGGTTGTGAGGTTGTAGGTTAAAACTTCCGGGCTGACACCTGGGTGAACAAAACCATGGATGAAGCTCCTCCAGGGAAGAGAACATTTATGGAAGGCAGGACCGTAATATCCTTCTTTGAATGGAAAGATCCCCACCCCATCCGAAAAGAAAAAAAAAGTTTGTTACAGCAACAACGAAAAAAATAAGTGGGCAATCTTTAAATACCGGATCCTCAGTGGTGACTGGAGGTTCCTCCTTTGAGATCTGCCAAATGCTCCCCCACCCACCTGATTTTATTTTATTAATTATGATTTATTTACTCGGGTTTCTCTTCCGACGGTATTTTATTTAGATTCTTTTAAATAAAAAATTAATCAGGCAACTGGGTTACTGCTATAGCAAAGCTTCAGTCTCCAGAATCAGAATAACTCCAGAGTCTCTGCTAGCCCCAAAGGCATTTTTTCCCCCTCAAAATAAACGAGATGTCTGGATGAAACTTTGCTGGTTGAGAAGGGAGCTCACTTGTCCATAAAGATAAAGTGGAAAGCAATGTTCTGTCCTTGGGATGAAATGTTCCAAGAAGTCCAGAAATTTTTGTTTTTTCCTGGCCAGATGTCCCAGCCATTCTGGGGGTGATACAGCAACTTTCAAAGAGGAACTTTGTGGAACATTAAATAGTTCATGACGTTCCAGAAGTAACCTAGCTGCCAAGCAACTAGTTCAACGATTAAATGGTGAGTACTGTCAAATTGTTCTCATAGATGTTTAATTCAATTCTCTATTTCTTCTATTTCGACCCCCTCCACTGGGGCTTCTCTGATGGAACTCCATGATGGTTATCCCCAGCTTGCTTCCTCTTTTCCCTTCTCTGCATCAAGACCTCATCGCTACTTGTAAGCATCTCGCAATCTATAGTCCTGTATTAAATAAATATAACCTTTACTGAGAGTAGAGAGCAACCATGCTCCCTCTCTAACCTTCTTGCACCCTTCTTATCAGCCTCTACACTAGGGCTGGGGGCAGGGAGCTGTTCATGGGGAAAATCCAGGTCCTAAAATTTCAGCAAGAACCTCTGCAGGTTGAAGAGGGTCAAGAAAGATCGAGTTGGTGAAATGGTGCTGTGTTTCAGGACCTTGGACAGCTCCAAATAGTTAGAACACGTTGTTCTAACAAGGGAGGGATGGATAATTGAGGTCAGTTGCTTCCATCCCTTCCAAGTGTCAGATCCTGGCTATTCAAATCTGTGTTAACTCAGGACTCGGGGTGTGTGTGTATTTGTTTAATGCAATGTTGTACACTCTGTTTTTGGCTATGTTGCGGGTGTGGCAATTTACTCTTACAACCAGGAGAACTTCTAGTGCTGTGGTGAAAAATGTCACTTTCTTAAAAAAAAAAAAAAAAGAGGGGAAATCTTACATAGGAAGAAATACACTTCCTCTCTCAGAGGTTCAACAGACTCACTCCCGTTCTTTCACTGGTGTTTTTAACTCCTAAAGCGCGCTCCCCAAATTCAACCTTTTCCCACCAAAATTTGGCAATGCAATGAGGGATGTTTGGGGGCCTTCAAAGAGGGTTGCCTCTCCCTCTATTTATTTAAAAATTTAAAAACCATTGTCCTCAACAGCTACGGCAGAAACCACATAAGGAAAATAGCCGATTCTGACAAGACCTGTATGAAGAGGAAAAGAGAGGTAGATGAAAAGGAAGAAGAGAAGAGATTTCAGTTTGCAAGCATTTCACTCACCTGTTGCACAGGTAGCCTTCCACTTTCTTCTTGCACTTGCAATGCCCTGAATTCGGGTCACACGTCCCCACGCTTCCCGCTGAGTCGCAAGCACAAGGCCTGCAGAAATGAAAGGCCTGAAGTTTGACTTTGCTCCCCATTATCCAGGGTTGAATTCAGCTGGCTATTGCCCCCACATCTCAATAGACTGGCATGCTTGGAACTGGGGGGGAGGCTGATTACAAGGGTCATCAGCACAAAAGTGGGCCCACATTTCCCAATTTGGCCGCTGCTGGCCCTTTGAGATGGTCCACACCAGGAAACTGACTCTACAAGAAGCTTTATTGAGTTAGGCTAGAGCAGTGTTGTCCAAACTTGGCCATGCTGGCTGGGGAATTCTGGGAGTTGAAGTCCACTCATCTTAAAGGGGCCAAGTTTGGACAACATTGGGCTAGAGTAACCAAGTCTGTGTATTTCCTGCCCTCCCTCTTGTACCCCAACAAGGCAGGAAGAACCAGCCTGGGCCTCTTCTTCATACTATCCCCCTTCCCAGGACTTAAAGAATGCTTCACCCTTGAATCTGTAAGGGCTTCTGAGTATCTCCCTCAAGACCAACTCCAGGGCTCTCTACAACCACCATGTGCAAAACCCATTCCCCATTAGACAGTGGATTGGAGACCAGGTTTCATGTTCACAGCTTAGGGGGGCCATTTTCCTTTTTCTGTATGCATCTGTCCACCCCACCCCACCCCCTTAAAGCCTTGCATCACGAAATCTGAGAAAGCAAGGCTGCAAGGAAGTGTGTCTTCCAGTTCATGCCGCCAGCTAGATGTTACACGAATTAGTAGATGATCTCTCCGTCTCTAGCTCCCTGTCTCTCACCTGCACCCGCCTTCACTCAGGGAATGGAACCCTTCCTGGCATCGCTCACACTTCCAGCCTGTCACTGTCGCCTTGCACTCGCACTTCCCGGCCTCATCGCACTGGGGATTCAAAGAACCTAGGAAGAGAGATGTAATTACAAGGAGAGGACCCAACCTCTAGTCTTGATGAAACCTCCATCCGCCTTAAAGAAAGCAAAGGGGGACGAGGAGAAGGCAGTTAAAGGAGTGGGTTTCCTCATCATCTATTTTTCTTTGCATTATTCGTTTTTTTATTTGGCAAATTTGTACGGCCGCCCATCTCACAAAAACGGGACACGGGGTGGCATAGAACTTCATTTAAAAAACCAATAAAGGTATAAAAATGTTCATTTTTAACAACGGTAAAAAAGCACAGCAAGAGAGGACGATGTATCCCGTGCAGTAAGGCGGCTATTGCAAGATCTCTCTGGTCCCCTGGGACTACCCCAGGCCTGAAGCCAACGCCAGGTTTTGAAGGACCTGCAGAAGGTTAAGAGAGATGGGGGGGAGATCCACAAGGTGGGCACCACAGGACCCCCCAAGTGTAATTCCCTGATGGGCGGACCTGCTGTGATGGAATGGAATTAGGAAGGCCAGGCTCAGGGAGATAAGCATTTTCTTAGCTCGCCGCAGGAGTGTGGGAACTACAAGAGGATGAGGCTGGCACCTCCCTGAAGAACTCACACTGTTGGGGCTGGCTGACTTGGGAGATGGGGTTTCAGTCTGGGAAGATTCTTGCTAGAGGTTGTAGCT